ATCGGCTCCTGCGCCGTGCAGCGCCGTCCTTACGACCGCTCATATCATCCAATCTCTCTCGGGCCTCTCGAGAAGATTGGGAGGACTGCTGAGACACTAACGGCATCTATTTGCTGTTAAACACAATGAAATGTAACATATAAATCTCCCCTTATTCCCGGCGTCTTCCTTGGCCGGATTAACCCTTTCCCTGAGGGAGGTAACGGCGCGTCCGGTGTTCAGACACGTAATGTTTCAGTGAATGACCCGGGAGTGGCCGGATTATTATATACACTGAGTGGCCGGATTATTATATACACTGAGTGGCCGGATTATTATATACACCGAGTGGCCGGATTATTATATACACTGAGTGGCCGGATTATTATATACACCGAGTGGCCGGATTATTATATACACCGAGTGGCCAGATTATTATATACACAGAGTGGCCGGATTATTATGACCACCTGACATTTGTAGGCTAATTAGCTATAATTTGGCACTGAAGTTGCTAGAGGGCCGGACCATTATCAATAGGGAAGCGGGTTGTTTACCACGACAGTAGAAGTGATTGGGAAGATTCGGGGAAACAACGCGATGTAACAGCCTCTGAACGCGGGATGATTGTTGGCGCTTGGAGCCATGGAGCGAGTATCAGCAAAACAGCAGAATTTGTTACATGTTCCAGAGCGGCTCATTGTTAAAGTGTTTAAAGACCGGACTGTCAGCCGAAAATCTGGGTCTGAGCGTGCGAATTGTGGCCGTCAGCGACTAGCCAATGTTAGGGCAGAACGGGGGAGGGGCAAGACTGGTACAAGACAACAGAAGGCAACAGCGCCGTGTCAGATTCCTCGCATCACCTTTCACCATCTCGTGGAGTCACCAGGCGGCCCAACGAAGTACTGATGTGGGGGTCATCATAATCTGCCCACTCTGTGTATATAAAGATGTCGGAACCTAAAATGTGGCTTAATGTTGTTATTATTATTATACAGGATTTATATAGCGCCAACAGTTTGCGCAGCGCTTTACAATATAAGGAAGACATTACAATCACAATACAATTCAAGACAAGATGGTAAGGAGGGCCCCGCCCCTGAGGGCTTACAATCTAAAAGGGAGGGCCCAGTGATACATGAGGAGGTATTATTGTTGACAGAAAGCCATTGATCCCTTCATGCCGAAGTAATAAGAACCTGACTGACCAGACCGATTCTGTTCTAGTGACTTTTTTTCGGCACAGTGTACCCACAAGGGAGGATGTATATCTACGGCAGCATTGCTTGTCAGGTGGTTAACGTCAATTGACAGTGATCAGCAGCTGGAAGTTGGTGTGTTCATCATCGTGCTGCATCTTCTCTCATGGGTGCTCGCGCTTAAAGTGACACTAAACTCCGGAGTTTAATCTTAGAAATCCATTCAAGTACCTTAAAGGAGAACTACGGGGTTAAGGCTTTTCCCCATAGTTCTCCTTAGGGTAACGGGAGGACACAAACTAGCGTCCTCCCGTCACCCTAGGCTCACAATATAGGGAGCTGTAGCTCGCGGTACACTGAGACGCCGCAGCCGGAGCGGATCCCGACATCGATGTCGAGATCCGCCCAGCTGCGTGAGTGACAGCTGGCTCTGCCTATCTAGAGGCAGAGCCAGCTGTACCCTCCCCC